CAAGGCGACGTTTTCCACATTTGCTTCCACTTCCCGTTTGTTTTTTGTGCATTTGTTGACAGTGTTGTGGAGTAACAGATTACATGTACCAGAGGTATGTAATCAGAGTACAAATTATGAGTAACTGTATTCAGTTACAGTTACTGTTTCAGTGAGTGGTAATTGGATTACAGTTACTTTGTTGAAATAAATGGATTACACAGAGGGATTTTACTGTTTTCACATTTTGGGATCAACCAGGACTAAAACCAGGACTAAAACCAGGACTAAAACCAGGACTAAAACCAGGTCTAAACCAGGTCTAAACCAGGTCTAAACCAGGTCTAAACCAGGACTAAACCAGGACTAAACCAGGACTAAACCAGGTCTAAACCAGGTCTAAACCAGGTCTAAACCAGGTCTAAACCAGGTCTAAACCAGGACTAAACCAGGACTAAACCAGGACTAAACCAGGACTAAACCAGGACTAAACCAGGTCTAAACCAGGTCTAAACCAGGTCTAAACCAGGTCTAAACCAGGACTAAAACCAGGACTAAACCAGGACTAAACCAGGTCAAAACCAGGACTAAACCAGGACTAAACAATGCTGTTCGGACCGTGTCTCTTCTTCTATCAATAATATTTTTAATTTGGTTCAGTAAAATCTGGTCTTTTTATTTTCTTTTATCAGGCAAAACTTCTTATGTGAAGATTTCCTCGTCTTTGTTTCTCTACAGCAAATCAAGTAATCCAAAGTAATCAGATTACATTACTCACTTTAAGTAATTTCATGGATTCCGTTACAAACTACATTTTGGGGTGTGTAATCTGTAATCTGTAGGGGATTACATTTTAAAAGTCACCTTCCCAACACTGTTTGTCGAGTCTTGTATTATTAAAAAAACTTAAACACAATTTGTATTTTCCTTGACAAACTTTGCTCCCAATGTAAACGACTTGTGCAACGCCATTAATAAAAAAGAATCTGAAAACCACCGACGCAAATAAACTGGCCTTTCCGTCTTCTGTTCGTGTTTAGATTTCAGAGTTCAGTGTTTGTTTGAAGAGGTCGAGTTCAGCCGTGATGTAACTCGGTGAAACGAAGGTAAACTGATGTAACTCATGACTCAGACGCTGTGACAAGAAAAACCCTTTGGAAGCGGCTGAATCACTGCAGTTTAATTGTTTTACTGACTTCAGAGGATAAAGTGAGATTTACATTTTAAATTCCATAACAGATGTGTTCCCAGATACGAGGTAAACACGTTCAAACCAAAAATAACTTGGACTGAAAACTGTTCTAACGCTGATTTATTATTAATTACACGACGTTTGTGTCATAATTCTGTGTTTTTGTTCTTGAAAGTTGGTTTTATTGTTGAGTTTTGTTTCATTTACACATGTTTAACACACAAACCCTGCAGATTCTCTCAAACATTAAAAAACACTCAGGAATGAAGTGCTCCACTGTGTTTTTAAACTCCACACACCTTCACGAGAATCATTTGGATCATTTCAGCTCTGAAATTGCCGATCTCAACTCATCATAATCAGTGTTGGGGAGTAACAGATTACATGTACCGGAGTTATGTAATCAGAGTACAAATGATGAGTAACTGTATTCAGTTACAGTTACTGTTTCAGTGAGTGGTAATTGGATTACAGTTACTTTGTTGAAATAAATGGATTACACAGAGGGATTTTACTGTTTTCACATTTTGGGCTAAACCAGGACTAAAACCAGGACTAAACCAGGACTAAAAGCAGGACTAAAACCAGGACTAAACCAGGACCAAACCAGGACTAAACCAGAACTGAATCAGGACTAAAACCAGGACTAAACCAGGTCTAAAAAAGGACTAAACCAGAATTGAACCAGGACTAAACTAAACTAACCTTAAGAAGAAAAATGAAAAACCCTCCACTTCAATCCAGGTTAAAAAAACATTGTGACGCGCTTTACTCACATTTGTACACAGTAAAATATTACAGTTTTTTCCCTGTAAAACCACATTACTGCGTTAGAGCAAAAAGCAACACATTACAGTAATTTGTTACTTTTATAACGCGTTACTCCCAACACCGTGTCTTGGGCAGTGGAGACGGAAACACTACTGCAGAGAGAATTAAACTTTTCCACTGTGGACGATGGTTTCAGATTTTTGCGTTTTTAAGCCCCAAAAACGGCGTCACCGTCTAAACGAAAGGCACTTCCCATTTTTACTCAGAAGCCTTCTCATGTAAACAGACTCTTATTTACTTATTTAAGCAGTTACTAAACCTGAATCATTCCAGTTGTTCATAATAAAACTATGTGTCCAGTTTATTTGAGCGAGTCACTGCAGCTCCGTCCTCCGCCCAGAGCCCTGACCTCTGACCTCAGACCAGCTCCTGTCGTGACACAGGCTTTTCTGTGTCAGCGCTCGGACTGTGGAGCAGCCTTCCTCTTCCTGTCAGATCCTCTCAGTCTGTAACACACTTTAAGACCAGACTCAAAACTCACCACTTCTCCCTGGCGTTTAGTAACAGCTCCTCGGGTCATCAACGAGTTTTTATTGTAGTTTTCACGTGTTTTTCTGTAAATATGTGTATGTAACTTTCTTCTGTTTCTTCTATTTTGTTGACGTTTATGTGAAGCACTTTGGTCAGCTGAAGTAGTTTTAAATGTGCCATACAAATAAACTTTAATTGAATTGAATAATGATTTCAGTATCTGTTCATTTATTTAATTTAATTTAATTTATTTTATTTTATTATTTTATTTCATTTTTTTTTTCATTTTATTATTATTATTATTATTATTATTATTATTATTTAATGTATTTATTTGTTATTTTTTTGAAAAGTTAATTTGAACTTTGAATTTTTTTTTTTTTAAGTATGAAGGTACAACATATACCCTCCATACTCTCAGAACTTTTACATTTAACAGAGAAAGACACAAACTAAATAATAAATGTTCATAAAAAAATAAATAAAAAAGCGTAGGACGACACAATGCACGGCTTATTTTAATCCTACCCCTACAATTTAAAATATTTTATCTACAGGATATTTATTAGACATTTGACATTAGATAAACTAGATGTAATAAAAAAAACTAAACTAAACAAGAACATGTACCAGGACAGCTGCGAGGTCTTAAAAGCCTTAAAAAGGTCTTAAATTTCATGTTCATAATTTAAGGATTTAAAAAGTCTTAAATTATGTCGTCCAAGTCTTATTTTTTTCACAAAGGTCTTAAATTTCATTAGCCTATTTGTTTGTTTACTCAACCAGGAGCAGTGTGATGAAAAAAAAAAAACAAGGTGAAATTATGTAACGTGAATAAACGTCTAATTTGGAGAATGTGCAAATGATACTTTGGTTTCTGGCACCGGTGGCAAAGAGTAAATAATCAGTAGAGTTTAGGAAGACGTTGGATGGATCATGGGGAAATGTCAGTTTAATCCACAGTGGCTCTTAGATTCTAGATATTGTACCGTGTTTGGTTGGTCATTATTAGAATTGGATCTGGTGTTTTTTGCCCACATAAAGGGCGTGATGTTGGTCTTAATTTTCATTTAAGTGGTCTTAAAAAGGTTTTTAAAAGTCTTAAATTTGGGGTAGTCAAACCTGGGGATATTCTGACATACACTACAAATAGACACAGGTTTATATATAACATATTGTCAATAATAACATTTTAATAACAATTCATGAATATTTCCTGTTTGTACGTCTCTAATCTGACTCTTGTGAGCTTCAAGTCATGTTCTAATGTTTGAGTAAGTCTTTATTTTTAGTCTATTTACATCTCCAAAGCTCAAAAATTTTCCCAAATTATGATGTCATGATGTAGTTTTCAAGTGAACATCTCCTTTTACTTTTAGTTCAGTAGAAATTGACAACTCCAGAGCTGAAATTGAATGATCCAAATGATGTTTATTCTAGGTAAATATCCCAAAAAGCACAAGTTTACTAAAAGCAAACAGATTATGATTAACATGTGTTTTCTACAAGCAAAAAGAACAATTGCAATGTTTCGGAAAAAAAACCTTGTAGGCCCAGGTTGGTGCACTGGCTAAAACTCATCATGCATTGGAAAAGGAAAGTTGAAATTGTTTGACCTCTTAAAAGTTTTGTAGGGAATCTTAATTTGACAGATGGTGCTGAAGATGATTGAGATTATTCTGTAAACCTTTTGTTTTAAAAAAAAAATCATAGAAATAAATAAATAATGTATGTATATATGTATACATTTTATATTTTTTATGGTATGTATATATTAAGGCTGAAAATCATTAAGAAGTTGCCGATACGATACACACCTCGATACACAGGCCATGATACGATACATATCTCGATACGGTGCACTTTCAATTCGATACGATATAGTTCAAATCTATTCGATACGGTTCAATAAAAAATAAAGGCTAAATCGTGGCTGTGATACTAAACGTCTTTGTTAAACCACTTCTTCTTGTCCAAAGTTCATATGAAACACAAACATTTTAATCATCAAAACAGTAAAAATATCAAATGTGTCGCATAAATGAGTTTCCTTTGACTCCACAAGCAACAAAACTGTAACTGTAACAAAATAATTTTGTAAAACACACCTAAAAATACTCTTGGTGATATATCGATACAGCAGCCCATGATATCGATACTGTATCATCACATTAAACAATACGATATATCGATATTCAGACACCCCTAGTATATATGTATATATGTTTATATCTATTTATATTTGGGTTGGGGAAATGTATGTATGGCTATAACCTAATTTTCTAACTATTAGGTTGATCTGTAATAGTTTTTTTTGTTTGTTTTTATGTACATGATAGATTGTGTGGTTGTGCTTTTTATAATGTACAAAACGAAATAAAAACATTGTTACAACAAAATGATCCAAATGATTCTAGTGAAGGTGTGTGGAGTTTAGAAACACAGTGGAGCACTCAAGACACAACTCCAGGTGTGTTTGTGACGAGGAAACTTGATAATAACAGCGCGTTGAGTTGTGTTTTCTCACCTGGGGGAGCCGTACAGGGTGGTGTTGGTGGCGGTGGGGCTGCTGGACAGGTTCTGCTTGATCCTCTGGTAGTTCCGGACCTGGGTGGGCACCGGGATGGGCGTGGTCTCCGCCCGGGGGGACACCATCGGCGTTTGACCCGGAGTCGGCTGCTGCTGCTGCTGCTGCTGCCTGGGCACAGACGCGAGGGAGAGCGGGGTCAGACGAGCACAGCCGGACTGCAGCCTGCACGCGCGTTTAGGAGCCTCCAAGCCCATAACGTCACAAAACAACCACGAAATTTGAAGTTTTTAAGGTTTTCCAGAAAGTATAATCCCAAATTTTGCGTAAAAAGCGAGACATTAAAGCCTAGAAACTGCCCGTTGAGTTCGTTGTGTACTTTTTGTCAAGGCAGGTTTCGCATGTTCAGTTCCAGAAGGTGAAAAAAAAACTGGGAGTGTCCAAAAAAAAGTAAATAGCAAGTGACGGCAAATCAGAAGTGAAGAAAAAGGGAAGGGGAGGGACTAGGGCAGGGCTAGACGAAAGCACGTGCCAGACAGCTGCTTTGTGCTGCGGTTTGAGACATCACAAGCTGTAATTATGCCAGAAACAGGCTCCAAACTTGTAATTACACCACAAAAAACCAAATACTGAGGTCTAAAGTCCATGTTCGTGCTGTATTTTGAAAACTGAGAATGATAAATGACTAGAAAAAGGGCTGAATCTGGACAGTTTAGGTGAAATAAAGGACAGGAAAAACACGGGAGGGACTTGGACGTAAATAAAGGGGGGAGAGCCAATCGGGAGGTGGGATGAGGGGAAAGGGGCGGGACTAGAGGCAGGTTCAGCCAATCGCACGTGTCGGACGGCTGCTCTGTGCAAAGACCGAGACACTGGGGGCTTTTGTTGTCACAGAAAACACGACGTGAGCTTAAAATTTAACAAAAAACCTGCACAATTTGAAGCATGATAACTTCATTTCCAGATTTATGTTTAAAGAACATTCTGTTTCAGTTTTATATTGAGAAAAACAATTAAAAAGTAAAACATTGTGGCTAAAAATGCGAAGAAGTTGAAGCTTGTACCACGATTTAAAGCAAAAAATGCAAGTGTTGAGCAGCAGAAAGTATAATTTTGGACCAAAAAAATGTGAAATTATTGTAAAAAATGGCCGTATTTAAAAATTGTAAAGCTTAAAGTGCATTTGACAGACTCATGCTGCTGTAATTCTGACTCGGTTCCTGTGGTCAATATTTGTTATAGTTACAGTTCATCAGTTTGTGTTAAAAAAGTTAAGAAAAATAAAGAAAATACAGGAAGCAGCGCCGAGTTCTAAAAACAGAATCCCTCTGCTTCAGGATACAGACAGTTTCACACACAAGGAAGAAGTTTTTCTGTCTGTTTAAACCTTCACTGAACTAAATAAAGGTGCAGTCATTGATTTTTATTGGTGTAATTATAATTATTGTGTAACTCAGACAAGTTTTAACCCGTGTTTACATTATGATTGCTCGAAAACAGTTATGGAATTACCTCTACATTATTCTGTCACCTCTGCTGCCCGTACTCAAACAGGAAGTGAAAATGTAAACATCACATTAAAAGGTTTTCAATATAATGGAAATAAATGCGTTTTAGAGAAATGTGGAGTCTGACCCGTGGTGTACACAGACGGCAGGTGTGGTTCAGGTTCAGGTTCAGGTTTGGTGCGGCAAAGTGTGGAAACTGTGCTCCCAAAACATGTTCGCGGGGATTTAAACTCTGGTCGGGAGCTGACGAGAGAGTTTAACACCTTGTTGGGAAACAACAGTGACATTTCCCACTACGACCACTTTCTCCTGCTTTTGGACGCCGCGCAAGAGCGAAGGTTTGCACTGGGACAGTGGGGACGTGTCACAACCAATATTTGGGGAAGACAAAATAATCCCTACCAATATTTGATATTTTATTTTAATAAACAAATATATACATTTATTCTGATTCAGATTTTTTCAGATTTTTTTCAAACTCAAAATTATTAATTTAACAGGTTTGAGGTCACATTTTGTTTCTTAGACGTTCTGAGATGTGTTCAGTGAGACGACGATTCATTAGTGGAGCCAGGAGCCTAAACTGGAGAAGCGGCAGGACAGGGCCGCACCTGACGATGGGGGTTTGAACAGGCGTGAGTGAAGACGCTGCGCACAAAAACTTTTCAAAAAGGAACTTAGTTGGCTTCATCTTCAGTTAAATTTGTCTTAAAATGAGTCACTGAGGAAAAAGAGCAACTATCAGCACAACTTCACCTTCCAAACAAAGTCCTACTCGTGCACCAAACTGAGTCCTACTCGTGCACCAAACTGAGTCCTACTCGTGCTCTGTGAGATCTCGACTCCACTGACAATATTCCATGGAAAAATGTTTGGACATGACCTCACAAATATCTCCTCATCAACAAGCAAAGGGAAATCTGCACAAACTTCTACATCTCTGTTTTCCGCTAAAGAATCATCTTAGAAGGACAATGGACACAAACTGAAAAATGAAAAACCACCTCTCACTTATTTTGGACCTGCCCAGACTCTGTGTTTTTGGAAAGAATTCATCAAACATACACAACTTCTCATCCCGTTTTACCCTTTCTTATAAAATGTGCTGTTTGGGTTTTGCAGTGTGCATCATACCAAAAGTAAACAATATTATATAATTAATCTGTTAATCAAGTGACCTATGAGCTGGTTTCATGCTGAGACCAAACCTACGCCCTTGATATCGTGGCTATCTACACTGAGTAAGTATATTTGCAAAGTACCATGAGTATGCAGGGATATTTTATTCTAAAAATACTCCAAATCTGTCAGTTCTGCACGTCTGATTTCCTGTTTTGCTCATGTGATTTTGTCTTAGCTTCATGTCAGAGAAAGCTGCAGTGTCCGGCAAAAATTCTTGTGGATTCTTTTCGCAGGGCCGCACCTGTGGGGTCACTTTCGTCTCATTAATATTCCCAAATGCACAGATGGTGATCTAAAAATAGTCACTGGTTTGTACGTGTGTTTTGATCCACAAATCCAGTCGGTCGAGCCCAAAACTCGGCTCAGGACGAGAGGTGACAGAGGCTTTTCTGTGGCAGTGCCCAGACTGTGGAGCAACCTTCCTCTTCCTGTCAGATCCTCTCAGTCTGTAACACACTTTAAGACGAGACTCAAAACTCACTTCTCCCTGACATTTAGTACGAGTTAGTCAGATTATGTGGTGTTTTTATTGTAGTTTTCACATGTTTTCTGTATACTGTATTTTCTGCACTATTAGTCGCTCTGGATTATAAGACGCACAGTCATTAAATGGTCTATTGTTGAACTTTTTTCACAAATAAACCGCGTGGGACTTTAAATGAAACCCAACAGTGTGATGGGTGAGTGGTTTTGTTTGTTTGTTCGTTCACGGTGACTCTGGGCTTTGTTCAGTTGTGGCGTGTAGGGAGGGTGTGTCTGGGACCAACGGATTGTCGGCGTGTTCGCAGTGACTCAGTTGTTCAGTCGTGTCTAGAAGCGGCACATTGCGCTTGCTTTTTTCGGTTCGTTCCTCCGTTCCGTTCCTCGTCGGCGTGGAGTGATGAGTGTGTCTGTGGGTGTGTTTCTCTGTGCGGTCGCTGTCTGCTCCGTGTGTGTTTGCGTGTGCTGCGGGTGGTGCGGCTTTGTAGTTTACTGAAGTCGTACTGGGACACCTGAGCGGATTCGTGTTCAGGGCGCTCTGGATTGTGGTGCGCAGTGGTTTTTTGATGGGGTTGGAGGCTTAAGAGCGCGTCTAGTGGCCTGGAAAATACGGTATGTATATGTAACTGTTTCTTCTGTTTTTGTTGACTTGTATGTGAAGCACTGTTTTACATGTGCCATATAAATAAACTTGAATTGAATCGACTTGAAATCCAAATTTAATATGTGTTAGGGTTAAACTGAATTTTCAGTTAGTAAAATGTATTTTTTTTGCAAATGAAAAAACATATACCGTATTTTCCGCGCTCTTAAGCCTCTAACAGCATCAAAAAACGACTGTGCGCCACAATCCAGAGCGCCTTATACACGAATCCACTCAGGTGTCCCAGTACGACTTCAGTAAACTACAAAGCCACAAACAGACACGGAGCAGACAGCGACCGCACAGAGAAACACACCCACAGACACACTCATCACTCCACGCCGACGAGGAACGGAACGGAGGAACGAACCGAAAAAAGCAAGCGCAATGTGCCGCTTCTAGACACGACTGAACAACTGAGTCACTGCGAACACGCCGACAATCCGTTGGTCCCAGACACACCCTCCCTACACGCCACAACTGAACAAAGCCCAGAGTCACCGTGAACGAACAAACAAACAAAACCACTCACACATCACACTGTTGGGTTTCATTTAAAGTCCCACGCGGTTTATTTGTGAAAAAAGTTTGAAAATAGACCATTTAATGACAGTGCGTCTTATAATCCAGAGCCCAGAAAATACAGTATCTATTTGTAAAGACGAAAATACAAGTTACACATATTAAATTTGCATATGTGGATCTCAAACCACACGTACAAACCAATCACCCTCTGTGCATTTGTGACTATTAATGAGACAAAAATAACCCCACACACGCCCACTTCCACCCACACCAGGTCAGTGTGACAGGGTGCTACTGATTTTAATGATTTTCTGCGCCTCGCGGGACCCGTCCTGACCCGCACTGCACCTGCCGTCACTTTACACCGGGCGTAACCTGTCATTAAAGCAAAAGTGGTATTTAAGAACCTGCACTTTAAGCCCAGCCATGATGTAACATTTTAGCTGAACTGTGGTTGCATAAAACGGTGCAGATTATGTCAGAAACATTATAATTAGAGCTACAAATGCCACTGCAAAATTACAAAACAGTGGTAAAATTGTGTTGATGAAGCGTTTTGAACCTGAAGCCTGAAGTCAGATTTAAACAAATGAGTTAAAGTGTGAGAAAAGACAGATATTTTATCATCATCATCATCATCATCCCGGACTCATGGTCCATTTAAAAAACAGACAAGGACAGTGACAATACAAAACAATAAACATTCATGTTTTTAAAAGAGCCACACCAGTGTCTCCACATGTTGGACTGATCTCTTATTGCACTGAATCTCAAATTTGTGAGTGACATTATTATTTCATTGTTTGATTTGTTCAGTCTGCAGATAAAACTGT